AAATAATCCGATATTGATTCTGTAGCTTTCATCTTCAAATTTTCAAATTCAACTCTTAATGCTTGGAGGCGTACCTTTTTGGCTCTTTCCGCACCTTGATAGGATTTTTGTAAAATCTCCCATGCTTCTTTAGAGGACAGGGCATTGGAAATCTTCTCAAACGCAGATTCATCTACGCCTTGGAATATTAGGAACAAAGCTTTTTTGTCTCTTTTTCTGACCTCCTTCAACTCACTCTTCTGAGTGGCGGTGAGAGTTGCTTCTGCTGCAGGTGACTCCGGTTCAGTGTAGCCATTCTCTACGAGATCCCACAAGTCTTGCGAGCCGAGCAAGACTTTCATCTGGATACTCCAGTTGTCGTAATTGGTCTTCATCAGCTTCGGAATCTGTGGCTGGATCATGTTCGCCATCTCGTACACGAGCACCTTCGATTGGCCCGGCTAGATCGAACTTTGCTCTGATACCACTTTGATGGAATTTGAAGAACACAACACTCTACACAAAGGAAACTTTTATTGATAGAACACTTGAGAATACAACACTTGTTCTTACAAGAACACCTCACTTTCACACAATTCCTTTATTTTGGTGGACACTCACACAAGGCTACACTACACACTCAAGCTTTCAAGCTTACTTCTTGCTTGCTTGCTTGCTTGCCCAAATGAGAGCACAAGACCCCTATTTATAGTTGTTTAAGAGGGCTAGGAAGTGTGTAGAAGAGTTAATCCTAGCCATACATTACTAAGAAGTTTCTAGAAGAATAAATACTAGCCATACACTTGTATCTTCCTAGAAACTTCATGGTAGATATTTTGTAGGATGTTACTAGAAAGAAGTTCTAGAAAGTTGTTCTAGAATAATCTAAGTTGGTGAGGAATTATAATACTCCCCCTCATCACCAACTTTCATTTCTCTCAAGTCCAAGCTTCTTCTTAAGCTTCAAAAATGTCTCTGTCTTTAGTGGCTTGGTGAAGATGTCAGCGATTTGGTCTTCAGACTTGCAATATGACAGCATCACAGTCTTCTTTTTAACTTGATGTCGGATGAAATGATATCTTGTCTCTATGTGTTTGCTTCGTCCATGTGCTACCGGATGGCGGACGCCGGGGCCGCAATGTGCTGCATGTGCATCGCACCGCAGCGGCCATCGGGGAAAGTGGTGGCGTGGTACTGTGCTATTACCTCCTGAAGTCCGCTGGAGGTAGATCCAAAGGTCATGTTTGGTTCGAGGAGAGAGAGCACATTGGGAGATTTGGGGTTTGATGATGTCGGTTTTATACGGAGGAGACTCTAGTCGGTGGAGAGGAACCGAGCGAAGCG